TTCTTAAGTAGGGACGTTCTTAAGTAGAGACCCCACTGTACACCACAGCTTGCTACAACCCTCCTTGTGTCTCTTTCTCAAGGGCATGATCAGTGCTGTGATGGCAGTCTGGCCAGCAGCCACAGACTTTCAAACACACCTTGGCAACCAACACCTCCTCTCGCTTGGCCCTCCTGCTGTTCCCAAACTTCTCAGGAGGCCTTCAGCTCTTACAAAATCCCATTATGATTTTTGACACTTCCCCTCTCCTAAACAAGTTGCAAAGAATGGTTAGCAGGTGTCTCGCCGGCTTCCCCAGTTTTAGTTGGTGTGTGGTCTGAAGCCACATGCTTTTCAGGATTGGAATGCCTGGACATGCTATTATTAACTTTGATTATTATGAGCAATCATTTCATTTGCATGATCTTCACTATTAGGGATTCAGAGCAAAATTGGCACACTTAATTGCATAGATAGTTGGAGGGTTGCAGTTAACATCCAGTCTCAATATGTTTGCCTATATTAGTTCATACATCTTGCAGTTTATAAGGAGTGTGTATCACTATCAGTAACATCCAGTCTCAATATGTTTGCCTATACAGGTATTAGTTCATACATCTTGCAGTTTACAAGGAGCGTGTATCACTATCAAGTTCCACCTGATTCACCCAGGAAAAAGGCAAAGAGGTTTTGGATTTTTGCAGTCCACCTTCTGTTCTCTTCATATTCATATTTGGGCTTGCTCTGTGCTAGAACGCAGCCCTATCTTTAAATCACTTGTCCCAAATTTTTATTGTTAAATTCCTCAAAATGCCACATTCCCACTTCCACCCTTTATTTCAGAAATTAGGATGGCCCAAGCTGTATGTATCTATCAAGTTTCTAATTAGAAGTATGATTCTGGAGTATCAGGATTAAAGTACAGTTTAGAAATTTTAGTGAAGGGAAGGGGAACACTTAATTGTAAATTCCACTGAAAGTCAACAACAAAAGAGTATTTATTTCAGTGGCCATGAAAACACAGCTAAAGCATAGGATAAACACAGATCAGACTCATCATCTTCTGGCCCCATTCCCACCCTGCAAAGTCTCTTCTCCACATTTTCCCATCTCCCCCTTTAAATGGTGAGTTAACAAAATCTCTCCTACCCCCTCGGTGTATGACCCCTTTCCGTTTTTTGCCCTTCTTCTTCCCCCTCCAAGCATGGTCCCCGGACACAGCTCCTTGAGGGTGAATGTCTCATGTTCCAACTTTGAAGGAAAAGAAATATACAGGGCCTTTTTCTCCCCTTTTATTTTGTTTCCAGAAATCAAGGTGCCATGCATTGTATAAAACACTTCCATTTTCTCCTCGGCATAGGAGTTATCTTGCTGGGGATATCCTTATCTCTCGCATTTGGACTGAGAAGTTGGATTTTCAGAATCTCCAAGAACTAGTGCATCTGGAGTGAAGACCATCTACAAAAGTGTCCCTAAAATAAAATCCCTCTGTGAACCCAATGCCCAAGTATCTTTCTCTGTGTCGCTGCATTTTCATATGAATGCATTTAATTGTTTGAGTGTGACATACTATTTTTCTACCCTGTAATGCTAGCGTTATTTTTTTCTAAATTCTAGCATGCATACAGAGACTGGCACTGCAATAAAGCTGCCTTATAAACTGAGTTTATCCCCAGCCTGATCGGCTCCATCGCCAGGGGCTTGCTGGGGTTTCAGCAGATGTCTTAAAAAACTAAGTGTTACTTCATCCTTTTAGAAAAGAGAGATTTTAGGGACTGAAACCGAGACCTTCTGGATCCCCAGCCGGTGCTCTGCCACTGGGGCTGGATCTCCTTTGCAGGTGCGCAGAGCAGTGATCCCCCCCTCCTCCCCCCCCTCTCTTCAGGACCTGACAGGAGAAAAAATCCTCCCATTTTGGGGGATGCTTCTCCAAATTCAGTTACAGTGCTGTAGCATGACTAGGCAAATTTTGTCCTCACGGCTTACAGTGTGATGCCAAGTTAGATTAGCTCTTAAAAACAAGCCCCAAGGGGCAAGACAACTTACTTTTTGTTGCTAACCGTCTCCCTCTGTGCCCTCAAGAGCGCAGTAAAATGCTTTTAAGATTCCTGGACAATCTGTGTCTGCAAAGTCCTGTCCTTAGTCTCGTTTTGCATTTGGCACCGTGTCCTCCAGTGACTGTCAGGTGATCCACGTACCTAGTTTTTGTAACAGCGATTGGTCTAGCGCTAGAATATCCTTTTTTTTTTAATGTAACTTCACTTTCTCCTGAGGAGAATCAAGGTGGAAAGGGCGGCCCTATCATTAGGCAGAGTGAACAAGCCCCCTGAGGCAACTGATTTAGGGTTCATGGAAAGTCTGCTGAGTTTTAGGGTCGTATCATAACTCTCTCTCCGATGCCAACATAAGGTGGATCATATGCATCCAATTGTTGAGCATGGGAGGCACCAACATATCTTAGGCAAGGCCTGCTCGGACACCCCTTGTTTTCATGTTTTCCCAGGAAAGGACATGAGAACTGCCTGTAGCAAAAATAAAAAATAAAAAAATAAAAAAAATTAAAAAAAATTTTTTAAAAAGGAGAAATGCAGGATTTGGATTTCAGTGTACAGGCAATGGGACAGCTGGGTATAATCTTTTTAACCCACACAGTTCTTAGAATACAGTATAAAAAAATTAAAAAAAAGGAGAAATACAGGATTTGGATTTCAGTGTACATGCAATGGGACAGCTGGGTATAATCTTTTTAACCCACACAGTTCTTAGAATACAGTATAAAAAAATTAAAAAATAATATTGTCTTTGTGAGCTTTTTAAAATATAGGTTGTCAACATTTTAAAAGTACAGTATCACAACAGCATGGATGAGAACTGCCTGTAGCAAAAATAAAAAATAAAAAAATAAAAAAAATTAAAAAAAATTTTTTAAAAAGGAGAAATGCAGGATTTGGATTTCAGTGTACAGGCAATGGGACAGCTGGGTATAATCTTTTTAACCCACACAGTTCTTAGAATACAGTATAAAAAAATTAAAAAATAATATTGTCTTTGTGAGCTTTTTAAAATATAGGTTGTCAACATTTTACAGTATCACAACAGCATGACCTCCACATTTAATTTGTGGGTCTTTTGTTTATACTTCAATTAGAATTTTAATTACTTATTGTTAGACACTTTGAATGCCTTTTTGTGGAAACATGGGATATAAATCAAACAAATAAATATATATTTTCTGTTACCTTTAGTTGAGGGAAGTGGAGCTGTGTTGCTACTAAATTACAGATATACTGGAATCCTTATTTCCCATTTTTTTCTGTGGGCGCTTAAGTCTATACTGAAGAAGATCCTGCTCTCCCCTCAGAGTCACCAAAGACAATCAGGAAGCACAAGCGTATGTTTGACACACAGAGTCGTTTATGCAGATCTAGGAGTTTGGGAAGGAACTGATGTGCTAAGTCTAGCGGGAGGAAGGAAATGCTAGGATACTAAAGAGAAATTGTCACTGGGAAGTACAGTAAGTAGAGGTTCAAGGGACCTTGACCATCTGAGGGCCTCACCAGATGAGATCCTGATTCTGTATCTAGAAGCAGTGCACCGTAAACAAGAAAATGTGATCTATTTATTTTAACACAAACCTGTCCCAGTCTGCATTTGGCAGATTAGTTTGCTTTTGTTTTTTAACTGTTCAACTGGGAGGCAGCACAGCTTCAATTGCATGCCTCATATCTTAGGCACCACAACACCAAAAAAACTTGTATGCCCAGAGGGCTAAAATTGTAAAGGACGGAAATGCAGGCTTGCTTCAATGTGTGAGCCTAAAGACAGTGAGCCTGGACAATGAGTAGATGTTAGAATGGCTAAAATTGTAAAGGACGGAAATGCAGGATTGCTTCAATGTGTGATGTGAGCCTAAAGACAGTGACCCTGGACAATGAGTAGATGTTAGAAGGGAGTGTGCTCAGGCTACTTTCCTAAAGGAATAGTAAGAATAGTGATTAAGTCTCATAAAATAATACAGCCATAGAGGTGTACAGCTGGAATGCACTCCATGGATCGAGTCCAGCCCGTAACAATGCAGAAAATCCATATCTAAAACATCTCTGGCCAGTAAATTTTTGTGCATACATAGTAAAATTTCAGAATACCAATCTGTAATTGTTCTAGTTAACCTACATATATAATATATAATGTTTTTATGGTTTTATTGCTTTCAGTAGCTTGATAGCTCTGGAAGAAAAGAAAAGAAGGAAAAAAGAAGGGGGAGGGGGAGAGATTCTTTTCCTGCCTGGAAAACAGAAGATGGATAAGCTAAACATAATAGCAGCCATCTCCAAATATTTGAAGTACTGTAGTACCAAACAGCAAGCTTGTTTTCTGCTGCTCCACACGTTAGGACCTGAACCAATAAATTTAAACTAGAGTAGGACCCCCTATCTGCAGGATCAGTATCGACAGAGTCACTTCTTCACTGCCTGAAAATATTAAATTAAAAAACCCAAAATACCACACATATTTATACATATTTCCACAGTGTATTTATCAGAACTGGACACTAAAGGGAGCAACAGACCATGTATAATGTTTGCTATTTCTTGTCAGCACCCACAGGGTAGTTTGGAATTGATCTCTGGCAGATACCAGGTACAAGAAAGTAGATTGCAGCTAAATATTAGGAAAAAATTCCTGATGATAAAAGCAGTTCAGCAGTGGAATGAACTGGTAGATTTTCCATTTTCTGAAGCCTCTGAATGTCTGCCATCTTTTAGCTGTGGATTTCCTGCATCGACTAGATTGGACTTACTAAATTACCACTGGGCCTCATTCCAACTCTACAATGCTATGAAGAATACAGTACAACTTTGTGTGGGTGTGTACATACAAACACATACATATTTAGATAAAGGAGTGAGGGGGGGGACACACCCAACTATTCCCAATATATATACTAGGCCTAAGAGGCATTAGCAGACTGCTCATTTCTATGTAGGATTTTGCAGGAAAAACAACAACATTAAACAGGATCCATATCCAGGAAGAATTTTTATTGAACCATCCCTGCCCATAATAAATAGAGCCATAGAACAAAAAAAAAAAGGGTGGAGGGGCACACTGCACAACAAAGATGCCAAAGTCACAGGTATCTTCAGCTCCTCCGAACACCTTCTCTCTTTGCAGTTGAGGTGACTTCTTTCCCCCATCTCAGACAGGCTGCACATCATTTCCCATCGCAAATGGTTTCCTGTCTGGACCATCCCTCATTCTCAACCTCTACTTTATGTAACAATGGGAGGAGACATGACAAGGAGAGCCGGGCGCAGGAAGACAGACAGGTACGCCAAGATGGAAGGACAGGTGTCTGCCTGAAATGAGTGTGACAAGGAACAGAAGCCATCTGGTCACTGTGTCAAGGAGTGGATAATGTCCTTCACCAGCATGGTGCCTATCAGCATCTTCTCACTGTTGATGGTGAGCTGTGCTACAGTGCCTGTCTTCTTCTCCAGCGTGATGAGGATGAGACTTCCACTACTAACAGTCTTCGCAGCAAACCTGTCCAGAGAAAACAGCCCAAGAGATATTTGACCGCAGATGTTTTAATGTTAACATGATATTGTGATCCGAGTAGCAGTTAGAGAATTTCTGGCTTTCTGGGCAATGTTGGATTAGAACAACCATCGTCCTTCGCCAGTGCCTAGGCTAGCTTGGTCTGACGGGAAATACAGTTAACAACATTCAGAGGAACAATACTATCTTTCATAAGAACTCTTTAAAAGCTGGCTAGTGTTTATATAAATTTTATAAATCTATCCCGAGAGATAGGAACTGTTGAGGCACTCAGGTAGAAAATGCTAAGTAGCAGGGATTGAAGTCCCTTGAGAGGTACGAAGTGGTCCAAAACAGGTACAGCACAACCACTGTATCCGTGGGATCAGTATTTGCTAATTAATCACTGTCTGAAAATATTAAAAATATTAATAGAAAAATCCTAGAAGTATGTATTTCTAAAGAAGAAGTTATCAGAACTGACCACTTGAGGGAGCAACAGACCATGCTATGCATAGAAAGAAATATATTTCTATAATGTCATTGCCAAAACTGGCCACTATAGGAAGCCAAAGACCATGCTATGTATAGATTTTACTATTAAAATAGCATTCATTATAATATGTGTTTTTCAGCATCCACCATTGGGGAATTGGAACCAATCTCCTGTGTATACATGGGTTTCTACTGCATTATTTTGTTAGGAAGTAATTAAAATAGCTTATCTCAATATGATGCTTTCCAGATGTCCTGGATTGCTATCCTTATCATCCCCAGACAACATAGGCAGAATCTGTGCTGGTTAAGAAGGATGTGGTTTTTAATCTAACACATCTGGTGTTAGAGTAAAGCATCGGGTGGAAGAAAGCTGGTGTGCAATTTCAGCTACATTCTCACCCAAGGAATCCTAGGTGTCTAGATGAAGGCACCTCAAAATATTTCAACCTCAACATTTTCAAATGCAAAATGAAAAGAAACACTTATGCCCCAAACAATTGACAATTAGGTTCTGCGGAGCTTTGAAGCTGTAGAATTAAAGGAATTAATTTAGAATTAAGTAGCACAACAATTAAATGTGCACACCCACAATCCTGTGTATACAGCCTAATTTTGACAGACATACATACATAGCCTGTATCCACCCTGTTCCTTTTTCCCCCCAAAAGCTTTAGTGAATGTATCAAGGACAAAAATATGCTGGAACACAATTACAATTGCTCATTATAACATGTCCAGATTTGTCGCTAAAGGGGAATTGGCAGTGACCCATCAAAGCAAGTGATACCCAGGGTGGTGTAGTGGATACAGTGAGGAATTATGACACAGGAGGCTCGGGTATGACCCTCTGCTCAGCCACGGAGACTCACTGGCGGAGTGGAACTGGTAAAACCATCCCTTAAATATCTCCTTTAGCTTGAAAGCTCTATTAGGGTTGTCATAAGTCGGTTTCGACTTGATGACAAACAATAACAAAATGAAAGCAAGGCTGGTGTTAAGAAGCAGAAATACAATTATCTGGATGTATGGCAGCCATTTCCTCACCGGTATTCTTTGTCCGAACCGCAGGGCACCCGGCCAACGTTAGCTGCAGCTGTCACTTGTTGCACAATCACATGATCGCTCTGGCACTTGTCTGGTAGAGCCAGCTTCTCCGTGATCTCACTCATCCCTGTTAATTTCCCTGGAGGAAATAAGGAAGGGGGAAATTGGTGACCCTCCGAGTGGAGAGACATCCTTGTTGAAAAAGGACAGCAGACGGCTCAGGGAAAAGGCACTGAGGAGAGGAAGTGGCATTTTCGCTGCATTCTGGGATGCAAGCCAGCCCGTAATGGGAAACGATGTCCAGCTTCTCAACAGTTTTGGTTTTTATGTGAACGTCTGGAACTGTTAATCCCTAAGCCAGGAAGGTTCCCTCGGGATCCTGGGGATTTACTGTAATCCTCCAACCTGTACAGAAGGAATCAGGGATGAGGAACATGTGGTCCTCCCAAGTGGTGTTGGACCACAAGTCCCATGATCCCTTACTGTGTGCTAGGGCTGATGGGAATTATAGCCCGATACCATCTGGTGGGACACACATTCCTCACCCTTTTCTACATTAACTCACCAAATTCTGGAAATTTTGAAGTAAAGCCTATGCAAGCTCTTTCTGGCATGCCCTCACTACAACGTCCTTGCCCGTTCCTCAAGAGAGAAGGCAGCAGTTTGTAATGGCTCATGCCATACAGACGATGAATAGGTGCACCCTGCAATGACCTTAGATGTTGCTCCCCACTTAGGATGGTTAGAGAGCCTCCACAGATACTGCTATACTCCCCACAGGCTAGCATATATATTTTAATTTATATATACAAACAAAACACTCCTTGTATATAGAAAACTAGTATGTCAGGAAAAAAGGTTTAAAACGACAACTGTATGTAAATATATATAAATCTTATTTTCTGTTTTATTTTCACAAGATTAGCCAAAACCCGTTGGTGGATCAGAAAGTGGAAGCTTGTTTAAGCAGAAAAACAGTATAATAAAACACTGAAACAAATATTTACATACAGTTGTCATTTTAAAGCTTTTTTCCTGACATACTAGTTTTCTATACACAGGGAGTGTTTTGCTTTGTTTTTAAATATAGACGAGCGTTTAAGTGTATAACAAACCACCTCCATTCCTAAGTGGTAGATTCCAGGAAAAGATTTGCAAGTTGATTCCGTTGGGTATCTAATCTATTCGTCTCGTAGTATAGTCTAGGAGTCACACATTCTACCGTAAAACCTATTTTATGTCAATTTTTTTTTCTCACAGGGCCATGCAGAAGGACTTTCCAAAGGGATTAAAGGTCTACCAGGTTGAATACAAAGAAGAGAATAACTCCAGTTTGATCCCTGCCATGTTATATATAAAAGCTAAAATGTGGTTCAGCTCTTAAAAGTCACTGATCGGCGTTGTTTGAAGGGAATAACTGGGGCCAGTGTGGGTCATAAGAACAAGTGCATGAACAAACTACTGCGGACTGGAAGTGCATGGCATGCAAGGGAGGAGCAGGTGTTTCAAAACATACTTAAAAAGGTGAGGACTTGCATAATTCATGGACATTTTAGAATCATGCCTACCATCATCCTCATGCTCCAGAATTATATTTCTACTGATCTTATGAATCGCCTCCTCAAGCAAGGAGGCTTTGGGTTGGCTTATCTCGCCAACCTTCTTCTTGCAGAAACTGGGGTGCAGCTTGTTGTATTAGAAGGGGGTGTGCTTGGATGCTTGGGGTTTACATGCCAGAAGAAGGCTGTCCCACTAGATCATGCAAAATGTTTGGTGTTCAAAGAGCAGCCCAAGGAATGCCAGGCGCCCTGCCGAGGTCAGAAGAGGAAGAAAGACCAAGGAGAAGTCAGGAGAAAGCCCCTTTCCAGCCACCACCCCACGTCCAGGAAATCTGTAGGGCTCTGTGGAAGCTCAGGGGCTACATGCAAAGTGCGTGCAATTCTGCGGCACGGACAGGCAGAGACAGAAAAGAGTAGTCTGCCAGAAAGAAAGAAGCTGGAAGCATTAGGGCCAACATAGTTGCTTTTCAACAAAGCAGGAGTGGAGAAACCTTGGTCCTCCCGAATTTTGCAATTACAGCTCATAATTGCCGCACCAGATGAGTTTCTAGGAGAGAAAGCCCAACCCGATTAGAGGACCAAAGCTTTCCCAGCCCTGCAACAAAGCCCGAGGTCCCTCCCTATGGCTCCAGCATGGGGCTGATGTCATCTGGCACCCCGGCTTCTGTTACGAGCTCTTCTCTGGCTGTGTTGATGGACAACACACATCGCCTCCATCCTTGGCCTCGAATGAGAGATTTCCACCAATGGGAAACAGCAGGAGAACAGGTGCTCTCACCTCACAGTGACAAGGCTGAAGTTTGTCTTCCTGCTGCAACTCTGCCTCTGCCTCACTAGTCCTCAGTTTCTAGGCTTCTGTACAAGCTGGTGTGAGCATTCTGCCTGCCAGCCTCCTTGCAAGGGTTGATCCCTACTCATAAAGCCCTGGCCTTGGAGTCTGATTCTTACTCAGTCCATCCTTTGTGGAAAGATACTAAGTTCTCCTTTGAACATTGGCTTCTGCTCAGTTTTGATTGTACCACATAACGTGGAAGTGCTGCTTTTTAAAGCACAGCTTCCAGAATTCCCAGACTCTGGGAACTCTTTGATCCCGGTCTGCCACGTTGAGATTCCTAACACACCTATTTTGAACCATTTCTTTCGAGACTGAAGGATGCCTACTATGCCAGTGTGGCTTAGCCATGGAAACTCACTGAGGGATGCCAATGGTCACGTTGAGATTCCTAACACACCTATTTTTGGACCATTTGCTTAGAAGTATGCCAGTGTGGCTTAGCCATGGCAACTCACTGAGGGATGCCAATGGTAAGACTATTTCTTGAACCTCATAGACCTCACAAAACCCCTACGAGGGTCACTATAAGTTGGAAGGGATTTGACAAAATAGAACAAGAACAAAGAGGAAGAGTGCAGGTTTGTGTTTCTGGATGACAGCTCCTTCCAGACTGACACATAGCCCTCCTGGGTCCAGCAACTCTCCTGCTTATTGTTTGGCAATGGGGAATAACACACTCTACCAGCAGTCCAAGCACAACTTTGAAATAGCTTTCTCTGGCTCCACTTTAACCTCCTGCTAAGCAGACCTCCCTCAAAATGAGGTTTGTTTGGGGAGAACAGCCAAAGCCTGGCGAAATGGCATGTTACCAAACTGAATGTTGCTGGGGCATGACCTTGGCAATATCAAAATAAACACAATTCATGTTGCTGCTTGCAGAACGATTTCTGATAAAGCTGCATCATGTGTCGTCACACAGAAAGCCTCAACTCAGTAGCTAAGAAAAGGCCCAAGGGGACCATGTCACTCTTCAGCAAGGCTGGGGAACATGCACCTCCCTCCAGTGGCTGATGGGCTTCAACTCTCATGAACTCTCATTATTGGTTTAGGATGGCTGGCTAGGCCCAGTGGGAATGGCTAAACCACTCGCTTCTGGAGGGCCACATTCTCTCTACTGCTGATCCTCCATCTAAAAAGTTTTCCACAAACAAACCACTATTATCCCAGGGGAGCCTGGCCCCCTGGACCCATACAAAAGGGCCTGCCAGCTGGCTGATCTTTCATTCCTGTATTATTTCACGGGCAAATGAAACTTCTGTCTAGTCAATGCTGCAATGATAAGAGAAGCCATACAGGTCTTTTCCTCCAAAAAAAAGGTTATTAAAGATATAGGCACTTCCCCCAAATATTTTTTTGGGTGTGTGTCAAGATTTGGAATACAAAGCCTTGGGCCAACATGTCATTGATCTGTCTCAACTGTCACATCTTCTGCAGAAGTCTATTCAGCTAATTCCTACAGAGGTTTGTTCAGAAAAAGCCTAAAACAATAAAAACCCAAACACAAGGTTGCCCGGCGCCTGACATTCCTTGACATCGGAACTTGGAAGTACTGCTAGTGCTTGAAAGTACTAATCGTGCCTTTTTTTCCCCTGCTCCTTTCCTTACCCCTTCCTGCCCCCTTCAGTATCAACACCACGGAATGACTTTCGCACAAGCCACTTGTTTTGTTTTGTTTTGTGGGGTCACCCAGTTGGTTGCACAATCCATGAATAACCAGACACCACAAACTGGTGAAAACCAATTGTATAATTGCCGTTCCAATCACCTTTTGTCACCTTTTCAAGTCTTCAGTCACAGGTCATTTTGAATAGAAAAAGTGCTATATAGTGGTGCCTCGCTTAGCAATGTTAATTTGTTCCCAAAAAATCGCAGCTAAACGAAAACATCGCTAATAAAGCCCATAGAAACGCATTAAAACGCAATTAATGCATCCCTATGGGCTTAAAACTCACCTTTAAGCGAATATCCTCCATAGCGCTGCCATTTTCGGTGCCTCTTAAACGAGGAATCCGTGCCTGAAAACAGCGGGCGGCCATTTTGAAACCGCTGATCAGCTGGCCAAAAATGGGGGCTTTGCGATGATTGCTTCCCTGTGATCATCGCAAAGCAAAATTCCCCCATAGGGACCATCGCAAAGCAATCGCTTTTGCGATCGCAAAAAATGCATCGCTAAACGATTTCGCCGTAAAACGGAGCGATCGCTATGCGAGGCACCACTATATTCCATGTTTTTAGAGGTTAATAGGAGCCTCATAGAGCAGTGGTTAAAGTGCAGTGGTGCCGTCAAGACTCTGCTCACAACCTGCGAGGAGCCTCATAGAGCAGTGGTTAAAGTGCTGTGGTGCCTTCAAGACTCTGCTCACAACCTGCATTTGATTCTGATGGCCTCAGGTAGACAGCTTGAGGTTGACTCAGCTTTTTATCCTTCCAAGCACACCGAGATTGCTGGGAGAGGTTGACTCAGCCTTTTATCCTTCCAAGCACACCGAGATCGCTGGGAGAGGGACAATGTGCAGCCTGTATAATTAAATTCTAATCTGCTCAGGGAGAGCTTGGAGAGTGTTCTTGCTAACAGCTTGGGAAGAGGTCTTGTTTTTGGGGTGTTAGGGCAAGGAGGCTGGAGTGCATTGGCAAGCTTCTTAGTCTCTCCTTTCCCTGTCTCTTCCAGACCCCCGTTAGCATCTGAAATCATGTTAGAAAAAGCATAAACACCCAAGCTAGTTAACCTTGCCTCTGCTCTCTGCCCAAGGGAAGGAAGAAGGGACAACCTAAAATGCTACAGGATGACACCGTTGGAATCCTGGAAGCCAATCCATCACCTTTTGCAGAAGGGGCATGGAAGCTTTATTTGTATGATCCACTGCATCCACTTTGTTCAATACACTTTTATTACTCTTTTATGCAAGTGCTTGATTTGTTCTTGACTACTCATTTCTAAAGTTAAAGTAGTGGCATTCTGAGTGGATAAAAAAGAAGCCCAAATTAAACCTGTGCATGGTAGTTCCAGCAGGAGATTGGTCTATGATTCTAATATTTTCCAGGCTGCTAGAAGACTACTGTATTCTACGTTTCTATACAGCATCACATTTTAAGCGATCTAAAAATTTTGCCAGCTGCTTTGCTAGTAATTTGTGGCATGTCTGTAAACCAATAACTTACAAAATGTTTTCTATGCTCATTGCCCAGAGGCAACCCTTACCTGTTGAACCTGTTCAGAAAAGTTGCGTGCAAACGTGGAAATCCTTACAGGAATGGGAATATGTAGAATGTTGGACTGGGTAGTTTCATCAGCACTGGCTCTGCTGGCGGATGGGAATTGTAATCCAACAACCTTCTGGAAGGCCACATGCTCCTTGACTCTACTTTACTTATCACATTTGTGGAGGTTTACATCCTCCTAGCCTTTTAATTACTGCACTTTGCCTCTGGTCCATTAATTGGGAGAGGGAAGCAAAAGATCTAGATCAAGACGGATGTGAGAAAGCAGGTTTGCCTATATTGGAAGTAGCCCAAGTAGGAGAAAGGAAGAGAAGGGGGGAAGGCGTGTGTGCCTGCAGTGAAAAGCAGTGCTTGCAGGGGGTTGGGGATTGGGGTGGAGAAAGAAGGGTCCCCGGGGCAGAAGCAGTGCTATTACTATAGCAAGAAAAGGAGGGGCACCACTCGGTGTAAGCAGTGCTAGCACTATGCTAGAAGGAGCAGACAGCTGCAGCATCCACAGGACGTCACTACCTGTGCTGGCACTTACCCACACACATCTTTAATAGTTGCTCTAAAGGAAAAAAAAGAAGCAAGAATGCACAAGGCAGTGGAGAACAAAACACATGGTTAGCATCAGCTGCCAGCACAACCCAGAGGGCTCTCTCTCTCTCTCTTTTCCCACAGCCATGGCCAGCCCAGGCAGGATACAAGGGTCAGGGAGTTCTTGCAGGCTGACCTCGGGGTTGGGAGAGCTCTGTCACATTTGCTGTTGCTTGAAGTGACAGGAGATACCCCATTGCAACATTGATGGGAAGATGAAGGGAGGGGACAATATGGTGTGAGGCCAGCCGTTGATGGCTGGTAGGCAGAGCCAGGCCACTACCACAGAATCCCTGCAGGGCCCGGAGGCAGAATATACAGTGGGCGACACAATCCTATATGTCAGGGGTTGGTAATATGTACCCACCCTACTTGTGTAGTCCTCCTTTCACACTATCCCTGTGATCACATTTGCTGCTTAAACCCCCACATTTGGTTTTAAAGAAGATGCACAAGGAGCATACACTTTCGTGTTCTGCCGCCCAAACCATGCTCCTGGAAGTCTTCCAGAAGCACAATTCGGTTTCAGAACAATGTGTCTTGTTTTAGAGTAGAAGTTTGGCTTTTTGTCTGTTTCTTTGTTTTGTGGCTACTGCCATATCAGAAGGGGTTTGACCCCTGCTAGGTTAGTGGATGCTAGGCTGGACCTCTGACCCCCAGGAATTGCTACATAGGTTTATCCAGCCGTAATTCACATGATGCTCAGTGTGAGTTGACTGCCAGGCAAGTGAGAGTCCAATCGTAACACCAGATAAGCAAGGTGTCCAGGGAAGGGGCACCAGCGGCTACTGTCTCAGGGCATGGGTTGGGTAGTGGTTTTGAGAAGGGGCCACAGAAGACCTTCTGCGAGTGCTGGGAGCCCAAACAAGTCTTGGTGGGCCTTCATGTTGCTTCTTTGCAGGGGCGATGTGGGCCCTAGCCTGCACCAGCACAGGAGAGGACAGGGAACAACAGACTTAATTCCTAAGGCCTGCCTATGGACTTTGTGTCAACATCTGGCCCGCCTCCTGAAATATCTGTGGGGTGGCAGAAGACAATAGGAACAGACTCTCCCGTCCCCTACAAACCACACACTTACCTTGCTCCTTCTTGAACTCATTCTCACTCATGAAAACAGGAGCCATGAGCTCTCCCACTGGGGGCTGGATGGACACATAGAACTGGCGGGTATGGGTGCTGGAGAGAAAGCAGACGAAATTATCTGGCTGGCGTTAGGTACTCTACATGCTGACTTGAGTGAGTGGATGGGGCACCATTGGCGGTTCTGACTCAGGCAGCAGAAACATTTGTGCCAGGACTGCCTTAGCCAGCCAGCAGCTTCACTTCAGCAATAATTTATCACACCCAAAGCAGTGTGACAGTTTACATCTTCCGCGACATTATTTTCTACACTCTGCAGCTTGCCACAGCTTTCTAACCCATAAATAGAGGTGAGTGTTTCTTCTTTTCTTTTTGCATTGGCTTCTTTTCCCTGATGCTTTTCATTTCAAAAATCTAAGTTTGCAAACTCGTGTACTGTGTTCTCTGATTCATCTTCTTGCTTAGATTTCTGGGTATACTGAAACTGAATAGTGGCAGATTCAGGGCAGATAAAAATAATACCTCTCCACACAGCTCATACATAAAAGCTCATACATTAATGACTAGAAGTCATGGATGTTTCACACACACACACACACACACACACACTCCAATAGCACAGACGGTGTATCCCAGTTTATCCCAAGGGAGAGGGTGCTGCTGCTCTCACACCAGACTTCCCATAAGCATCTGGCTGGCCCCTCTACCGACAGAAAGCTTCCTCAGTGTCTTAGTCAGACGAAAGCTCCTGTATGTCATCTTACACCCGTCTCTTTTCTGGGCACAACAGGACCTCCTCAACTCATCGCCTCCAGGCGTTATTCGTAAAGTTCAGTCCTTTCCACCCTTTAAAAACCAGTTCAAGCCACAGCTGTTTTTTCTCAGCTTTCTCTAATTTGCTGAGATTTTTATCTTTGCATTTTCTTTCCTCCATAATCTTTTCTTACAATTTTCTCTTGTGTTTTTATTTATATAGAGACAAGCCTGAAGGGAATAATTGTGTCCCTTACAGTAATTTATTTGCTATTGTGCCTTGTTTTTTTTTCCTACAGGCTTAAAATATAATATTGTTGAACCATTTTCTGGCTTAAAAGAAAAGGCCCAGCCTATTCACGAGGCCCAGCCTATTCACCAAAGAGATGTGATGATGGCAGAGAGGAGGGCAAAATATTGCTGGGTGTAGAATTCTGGTACTCTCAGCATCAGCCCAAAGGTATAGCAGAGCAGCAAAACAGGGCAAAAAGCTCCTGCTGTTTGCTTATGGCTGGAGGGGCTTCCTTCGCCCTGCTAATCATAGAGATGACGGCATCAGCACACTTCTTTTGCAGAAAGTGAGGGAAATCAGTACTTACCACAACTGGAAGCTGGCTGCCTGGGTGGAGTCACTAAAGTCTATGCCCATAACAACACTGACTGTTTCACCAGGTGGCAGAGATTCTGTAAGCAGAGAAGAGGCCCCGGGGGAGAGGTCAGAGTCACAGTCCTCCCATAGCTCACATTTTGCACTGGGGGGGGGCGAGGAAGCAAGTCTGGAGGAAGGGGGCAATGCCCTCCCACTGTCATTAAGCTGTCATTAAGCAGTTAGTCCCCAGAAACGCAGGGTCCACCAGCTCAACACCTCGACCTCCATGTTTCTGGCCCCCAAGACAAACTCTATGATTTTAACCCAAGGGTGGGTAACACGCAGCCTGTAGGCCCCATGAGGCCAAGACTGTTCCATCCTCCCGGGAGAGTCACTTTTGATTTTGGGAAACAAAAAGAGCCCCCGATCCTAGAACAGGTTTCGGCTCCCCCATCCATGCCCCCAAGTGGCAAACTGCACCCCTTAGAGCACTGGTTCTTAACCTTGGGTTATTCAGGAGTTTTGGACTGCAACTCCCAGAAGCCTTCACCACCAACTGTGCTGGCTGGGGTTTCTGGGAGTTGCAGTTCAAAAACATCCGAGTAACAAAGGTTAAGAACCACTGCCTTAGAGGATTCTGGAGAGTATTTTTAATTTTAGGGATACGGCCCCAGTATACAGGGCAGATGCGGCCTTCTGAGACCCCAGGGAATGCAACCCCCCAACCCTCAGAAATGGCTCACCCCTGTTCTCACTGCCATGCCTTGGACAAGAGGCGTAACAGGAGAGACTCTTTCATGTAGTCCTAACCAGAAGGAGGAAGCATTTCCCAGCCACTGTTGCTCTAACCCGCCCGCCCCACAGCAACAAAAAAAGAAAAGAAATCAAGGGGGGAGTTGCTGTGATGTAGCAATTAAACTGTGGATGGGACTTGAAAGATCCAGGTACTAGTCACTGCTGAGTGATGAGGTTACCCAGGTGATCTTGGGCCAGACCTCTCTCAGCCTGAAAGGTTATGGGCATCAAGTGGAAAGAAAGAGGGTGGGGGCATGCGTGACTCCTGAAGCTCACTAGAAAAAAAAGGTGGGATGTAAAAGTAACTAACAAATAAATGAAAGGTAAGGTCTTAAGACCCAACCACAGACACCCACAAGGGCATGTGCCCTACCGATTTCCTTGAACTCCTGGACGCGCATGCCCGAGAGCAGCTTGGGCTCATTGACACGGATGTTCTTCACCTCAGCAGCTGTGTTGTTGGAGATCTGGATCTGTACAGCCACCATGTGAGAGTCGGTAGGAAAAGGTTGCCGGCTGAAGTAATACTCAACAGAGAGCCCTTCCCCCGTCATGCGATGCAGCAGCTCGTAGGTCTTCACGGCACCAAACACAGGACTATTCATCTGCAAGAGGAGGAGGAGGAGGAGAAGGCATGAGAAAACGGGGAGACACACTCAGCCCAAAATGGGCTGAAAGAGCAGTGGAGGGAGGGGAATCAGGCTGAAAAGGACCAAGAAAAGAGGAGAGGCAGTGAGAAAAGAGAACAAGGTCCTTCCCTCCTAAATTCCAAGAGCTGTCGTACTGGAAAGTTGTTCAGAGGGAATCCTGCCTCTTTTGGGAGTTGCATGGGCCATGAGACAACGCAACAAAGCAAAATGCAATGGGTTAAATCCATGGTTATGGGCCATCAAGTAGCTTCAGACTCATGGTCATTCTAATAGGGTTCTGCCTCAACATGGAGTTTGTAAACTAAACAAATAAGTCACTGTAAGGTGATGCAATTATCAGATTGCAGAACTCAAATGTTACAGAACTCTGTAGGTGATCTCGGAACCAAGGCAGGCTAATGATGTAGGTGATCACAGAACAATAGGAAGGCAATTAACCTTAGAGAAAGTACAAAGAAGTCAACCACAGATGTGGGAGCCAGGGGATCTTTAAAAAAAACTCTTTGAGAACTCTTTATTAATTTAGCAGGATTACACAGAATGTTGTGAGAATTCAGGTAGGATACTAGTTACCTAATCACCCCTAGGATTGGCTGGAGAAAGTCTTTGAACCTATGCCCTAATGTGAAACTCCAAGACAGGGCCAGGAAGCATTTGTGGGAGTGCCGTCGCTCCCGTCTCACTCTAAAGAAACTCAGACCTCTCCTCCGCCTTCTCCACCTAGGAAGGACTTGGTCTCGGGAATAAAGGGGTTAAACGTGGCGGTACAAACCGGTGAAGATTTGGTGGGGAAAGGGGAAAGGGCGATAGAGGCGGGGGCAGGAGATATAAGGGAGAAGCGGGAGGACGTCCCGGGCGCTTGGGAAAAGATTAGGGTCCAGGATCCCTGGACAGGGAAATGGGAACAAGTCAAGGTTCCTCATGAGGAGGCTGAACGGCAAAGACGCCGGGGTCAACAACCGCATCCGTCCTATTGGGGAGAGACGGAGGCAAAGGAGTGGAGATGCCGTCTTCGTAAGGAATGTGAGGCGGTGGCGAGAGGGATCAAGGCCAAGAAGATACGGCAACTTACGGAGCTCTGGCTGGCCAGTCTGAGAGGGAGTTCACCACTCTGGGGTTGGAGCGCAGATGAAGAGACCTTACCGCTATTAGCGGGTGAAGGGGAAGGAGGTGACACGCCCCCCCCGGTGGTAGAGAAAGTGTTATCTGGACCGTGGGAGTTTGACGAACTAAACCCATTTGTTAATGATGTTTGGACACCCTTGCAGTCAAGGTTTTGACAGCAAGAGACATTAGACTCTGTTCACAAGGAAGTTACAGTTAATGTTGAAACGTTAATAAATGGAGACCATGTTGTTGAAGTTAAACCGTCTTGTACTTTATTGGGTGTGACAGAAGCCCCTAATAACAAACCCTCACACCTAACTCGAAGGGAAAAGGCAGAATGAGAGGTCACCCTGCCGGCTGGGAGCTGCTGCTTCTCTGCCAGGAGTGTTTGCACGCACTGTAACAGATAATAGATAACGGCCCTGGGCAGAAGCTTCCCACACAACTCTTTGGGGCACTTTGATTGGTCTTAACAATGTGGGCTGAATGAAATATTTGGAATCAGGAACACAGGAAATTGCCACTGGTCCAGTACTTGAGCAACTGTGGCATTCCAGACATGTTTGACCCTCAGTTTCCATCAGCCACAGCCAGCACAGCCCATGGTGAAAGATTACGGGAGCTGTAGTTCAAAGCAACTGGAGAGTCACAGCAGTCCACAGTGAATGACAGTAGGTCCCCACAGTCTCAAAAAGCTTCACCCAGCCCTATCTGAAGATGCTCAGGATTTTTGCATACAAAGCACATGCACAATAATAAAGGTATAAGCCTTCCCACTGGCCCCATCAGGGCATGGATGGAACAGCCAGGCAGCTAATTTGCTGTCAAATACAGTGGTGCCTCACTTAATGAGCGCACTGTTTAACGACGAATCCGCATAGCGATGCGTTTTTTGCGATCGAAAAACCGATCACTTTGCGATGTTTTAATAGGCAAAACATCGCAATGCGATGATCGGTAAGCATTTCGCTTAACAATTTTTGCATTGCGATGTTCGGGAAACAACTGATCGGCAGCTCCAAAATGGCCGCTGGATGAAGAAAACGGCCACCCGCAGCGTTTTCGCGCCCTTTCCTCGCTTACTGAGGTGGCGAAAATGGCGGCGCTATGCAGGATTCCCGCTTAGCGGTAAGTTTACCCCCCCCCATAGGAATGCATTAAATGGAGTTTAATGCGTTACTATGGGGTTTTCCATTCCATTTAGCGATGTTTCCGGATAGCGACGTTTTTCCTGGAACGGATTAACATCGCTACGCGGGGCACCACTGTATAGCCAATAACAAGCATGACAAGCCTTCTAGAATCTAACACACATTTCAGATAGCATTCCATATTCAGAACAAGCAAAACAAGCCTCAGGATTAAGTCAGGTTACATTTCTCGGTAACTTCTTCCCCAGTGCTCCACCTTCTCGTGACAGGGAAAAATTCTTCATCACAATCCAAAACTGACTGGTGAGAACAGCATCCTCTGCTGAGCACTCAGAAAAGGCATGCCAGAAGCTCTCCGTGCCTCTTTTCGCCTTAATCTGACTCTCACGAGTGTTATGCATGTTAGGTGGCAGGTGAGAAACTGTGCGTGCTGCTTAGAAAGGTAGGATACAGTATTGAACAAGCGAAGAGAGAGAAAAGAAGGTCACTTACAGCAGCAGCTAAAGAGGTGTCAGTCAGCGTGAGCCCCTCAAGGTCAGTCACAAGGCTGGTGGAGACTATGGGGCTTGAGGCAACTGGTTGCGGGGGAGAGGGTGTGACTGTAAGGCCGAAGAGAAGGAAATGCATGGTTAATAACTTTCAAGATTTTAATTTTTCTCAATATGGGGAGCGAACAGGAATAGAACACAACCTGCAAGGTGGGGAAAAGATAAAAGCAAAAACACATCGTGAGATGGCCAGAGAAAGAGCACTATGCTCCAGCACCATGGACAGATCATCCGCTCTACACTCTACAGCTGTTCTCAGCCTTTCTCATCTTAACATCCTCCGTTGAAGAGCAGCAAAATACAAAAATTCCATTCCCCCCCGCAGAAAACCTTTAATATGTTTTCAGCCATTTTGTATATTTACCAGTGATATCAAATTTTAAGAACACTAAAAATTTAATTGGGTGTAATCAAAAATTAGCAAAAATAATAATTCCCTTAGTTAGTTCACAGTTATAGTAATGTTGTGAAGTATAAATGTTATTGCTGTGCTAACTGTTAAAAAAAGACAGAAAGATAATACATAAGAATTGCAGTAGGATTATTGGAATAAATTTGATTGCTGTTATAACAAATAAAGAAAAATGATGGTTTCGTAATTTAATGTTCTAGAAACAGTATCAGCCACCTATACGACTTCTGTACCCTACACCTAGTACTGTGTGGAAAGAATGGCAGATTCATGGGAAACTGCATACTAGTCATTCCTGAGAAGTATGCCAGGTCACAGAAAAAAGTATACTTGGAGGAGCCTGTTTGTGTTGAACAAGGAACAGGTAACAGGCCCTGTAAACTCGAAGTGGTTGAGACACTGATGTCTCTCTGTATCAGAAGCTGCTCAGCAACCCGCTTATAGCCAACACAGACTTGGCAGCATGATCTAACTTTAGGAGACATCCCCTGCTAATTGTCTCTGCAAATGCAGGTTTATTCCCAAATAAGAATCCTTTCAGAGCTACAATTCAAAGGAGGCAAATTCTGTTTTTTGTGGTGGTTCTACTAGATCTCAGGAGCACACTTGGAGGTATTCGAAGTACATGCACATATGCTTTTAACTTACCCGCTTTCCCCCCTTGAATTAAATAGCAACCATAGTATGCCACAACATTTGGATCAGAACCAGGTGGTGTGTGTAAATGTCACTCTTTTCTGTAGTAATATGATCTCCATGAAGAATCTTCCCTCACCCTCAGAGCTGCAATTTGGCCCAATTAATTTGTGGGTGGCAGGAGTACTATTCCCTCCAGCTCCAAACTGCAGTTTCATGGAGGGGACAGTTAGGAATTTAGTCCTCTGAAAGTGGCTTAAAAAGCAAAGCAAAGCGTGCTGCTTATATACCGGCCCATAGTGCTTCAGGCACTCTCTGGGTGGTTTACAAGTTAATTATGCAGGCTACACATTGCCCCCCCCCAGCAAGCTGGGTACTCATTTTTCCAACCTCAGAAGGATAGAAGGCTGAGTCAACCTTGAGCCGGCTACCTGGGATTTGAACCCCAGGTCGTGAGCACAGTTTTGGCTGCAGTACAGCGGTTTAACCACTGCGCCACGAGGCTTAACACACTCCGCCATCTGCATGTGCTGTGGTTCTGACTATCTTAGTCAAACAGCTTGGTGGTTTAGGCACCTGGCTGCAGAGCCAGAGGTTGGGAGTTTGATTCCCCCACTGGGTCTCCTTGACAAGGGTGGATTCGATGATCCATAGGGTCCCTTCCAGCTCTGCAGTTGTAAGATAACTGCTATTTAATAAAGAAAAAAACAAGCACATTAAATGCCACTCCCCTAATGTAATGGACAGTTTGTCCAGAAGATGCACACCACAGAGAAGAAAGATCAAGTGTCACTCATCCACATATGCAATGATTCGTAGACTTCCAAAGCTATGGAATGCAAGAGAAAACATCTAGCTGCAGCAGTTTTCAAAATCACTGGGCATTTGCTTCTGGATGCCAGGAGAACTGCAAACAAAAAGAGCCGACATCTGGGCAGCAGACCTTGGCAAGAAAGACTCCCGCTTATGAGACATAGCGCTAGGCCAAAAGGGAAGTCATGGCTTCCAGGAGGTTTGGGCAGAGGGCAAAAAAGGCAAGAGGAACAGAGACTGGTGAATGACTTGTTATTAATAATGTATTCGCATTTTCAGCACAGCATTGGGGAAATGATTTATTGTCACTAGTCACTGCAATGTTTGTAGAAATCACTACAAAATTCTTAAATACTTTTTAAAAATGTTTCTGGATAAAGCACAGTTCTTTAGGTCAGAAGTTGGGAGTTCGATTCCCCACTGTGCCTTCTTGACAATGGCTGGACTTGATGACCCACAGGGTTCCTTCCAGCTCTGCAATTCTAAGATGATTGTTGTTGTTGCTTAAAAATTTACCCTAAAAATATCTAAGTGGAAGTAACAGTAACTATTGTCCCAATGAAGGAACTTGATTCTAATTAATTCTTTTATTTTCAGGATGTAACGCCTTTATGTGTTAAAAGGAAGGAAGGAAGGGCAAGGAAAGGAAAGGAAATTAGTTTCAGGGGCTATGTTACATTGCTTCCTGGCAGGGAAGGATGCCTAGAGGAGACCTACAAGAAGGTGTGACAGAGCGACACTTACAGTCATCCAGGTCCAGCAAGGAGATCTCCTTTGTCCCTTTCTTGGGTGCTTTTGCAGCAGGTTTGCTACTAGGAGGCTGGAAAATTTTAAAAAAAAGGAAGCACAGGTTTTTATTTTCTGAGCTGGTAGAGCTACATGATGGGCAACCCTGGTTTCCGTCCAGTGACGCACACGCAAAAAAAAGGAAGCAGAGGTTTTTATTCTCTGAGCTGGTACAGCTACATGATGGGCAACCCTGTTTTCCGTCCAGTGACGCACACACACACACCCTTTACCTTCCTTCAGGGAGCTGAGAATTGCACATATCAGCTCTCTATCGCAGCCTCGCAATGAAAAAGAATGAGAGAGGGAAAGAGGGGCTGGCTGTAGGTCATCCAAGGGGTTTAATGGCCAAATGGGACATAAAACCATGTCTGCCAACTCTGGTACCTGCGTCGTTCTCTACAGCAGGGGTCTTTCCCAGCACCTTTTAATAATCTTTCTAATCACACAAAGCCAGTACAGTGGTGCCTTGACTCATGAACTTAATCCTTATTGGAATGGTGTTCTTAAGTCAAAGCAGCATTCCCCATAGGAATGCATTGAAACCTGATTAATCCATTCCGGCTGTTGTTTGTTCTTATGTCAAGGCACGGTTTGTAAGACAAAGCATTCGTTCCCATAGGAACTAATGCAAAACCGGTTAATCTGTCCTCTACCACTAGGGAGAGAATTTTTCTTTTTTTAACCTAAGATGATTTAGGTTTTAAAAAAGGGGGCAGGAAAGGAGGAAGACACTGATAGAAAAAACAATGAGGGAGGGAGATAGTTTGGAGTCTAAAACATATGCTAAATCAACACATTTTAAACCAAACCAGCACAGACCCTTGCAAAAACATTTCTGATTTGCAAGGGAAGCGTGCAGGAACCATTGCAAAAGCACAGAAAACAAACGGAGCAGATTAGAAATGCAAAGAGAACAAAGCTAAAAAGCAAGGGAAGTATGCATGAAGCACTGCAAAAACAATGGAGCAGATCAGAAATGCAGAGAACAAAGCAAAAAAGCAAGAGAAGCATGCATGAAGCAATGCAAAAACAACAGAGCAAAAAGCAAGGGAAGCATGCACGAAGCACTGCAAAAACAAACGGAGCAGATTAGAAGTGCAAAGAGAACAAAACAAAAAAGCAAGGGAAGCATGCACGAAGCACTGCAAAAACAAACGGAGCAGATTAGAAATGCAAAGAGAACAAAGCTAAAAAGCAAGGGAAGTATGCATGAAGCACTGCAAAAACAATGGAGCAGATCAGAAATGCAGAGAACAAAGCAAAAAAGCAAGGGAAGCATGCACGAAGCATTGCAAAAACAAATGGAGCAGATTAGAAATGCAAAGAGAACAAAGCTAAAAAGCAAGGGAAGTATGCATGAAGCGTTGCAAAAACAACAGAGCAGATCAGAAATGCAAATAGAACAAAGCAAAAAGCATGCAAGACACATTGAAAATGGGAGAACCCCCCCAAAAAAGCAAACAAACCCCCAAGACCCATCGGAAATGGAGGGGAAAACAAAAAAGCAACCAAACCCCACAAGACCCATCGGAAATGGGGAAAAAACACTCCAAAAAGCAATAAGCCCCGCTGCAAAAATACCCAGAACAGTTTTTAAAAAGTATAAAGCAGCACCTTACCTTAGCAGGCAGCCTCCTTGGATCGCACACTCTCTAACTGCCCAGGCGAAAGAGCTACAAAGAAGCAGCCTGGTCGCCACCTACAGTTAGCTATTTGAATTTCCCTCCCTTATCCCCAGCCTTTTTTCTGTTTGCAAGTGAAAGCAAGATTTTGTGAACGGAGCTGTTCATAAATCAAAACGTTCGTAGGTCAAGGCGTTCGTAAGTCAAGGCACCACTGTATAGCCCAGCAGGTAGGCAGTGTTTGGCTAGAACCAGAGAAACCGACTCAGTCATGAAACTCATTTGCTGTCTCTGGGCTAGTTCACTGCCTCCCTAGAAGTGTCAATGGAGGGTGGAGGATCATATAAACTACCCTTGAGGGGACATTAAAGAAACGGAACAACATGAACATAACCCAGCTTGCTGAGGCCAACAGGACCTGACCCCTAACAACATATTAATGGCCACAGCTCCCCTCAAACCAGATTTTACAAGTGAATAAAAAGGCTGCTTTTCATTGAGATTCAAAGTGCTGGTCATTACCTATAAAGTCCTACAGTGGTGCCTCGCAAGACGAGCGCTCCATTTTATGACGAAATCACATTATGACAAAGTTTTTGCAATCGCAAAAGCGATCACAAAACGGTGTTTCCTATGGGGGAATTTCGCTTTGCGATGGTTGGTTCCCTGCTTCAGGAACCGATTCTCGCAAAACGACGATTTTCCTACAGCTGATCGGCAGTTTCAAAATGGCCACCGGGTAAAAAAATGGCTCCCCGCTCTTTTATGGGACGGATTTCTCACTGCACGGGCAGCGAAAATGGTCGCACTATGGAGGATCTTCACTGGATGGTGAGTTTCAAGCCCATAGGAATGCATTAATCAGGTTTTAATGCGTTTCTATGGGCTTTTTAATTTCGCTTTATGATGTTTTCATTCTACAGCGATTTCGCTGGAACGAATTAACATCGTAATGCGAGGCACCACTGTATATGGATTTGGCACAGGCCCTCTGAAGGACTGTATCTCTCCATAGGAGTATTTCTGGTCCTTAAGGTCTCCAGAACAGGCCCTCCTCCCAGTCCCACTGCCACCGCGGGAATGGGCAGGGCCTTCTCTGTGGCTGCTCCCAGGTTATGTGGGAAGCTTTCCCTCAGGAGCTTAGGTGGGTACCTGACCTTTTGCCCTTCCACCAATAGTTAAAGACCCACCTCTTCAGCCAGGCTTTTAATAACCATAACTGAGACCGTGGATGTTAACTGTTTGGCTTTAGTACGTTTGCTTTTAACATTTTTTAATGCTTTTAAAGACAATGATAATCATTTATATTATTTATATAATGCTTTCATCACATTCTAAGATCACCATCTTAGAATGTGATGAAAGCACTATATAAATAATACAAATATTATCTCAGCCACAGAATCCTTGAATCAGAGAGGTGGAGTCTTGACACCAGTCTTAGAAGACAAGAGAGGAAGAGCCTCATTCTGCTTCTTTTACCTCAAAGCAACTCTTGGCCGGCCAAATTCCACAAATACCTACAGGTAACTGAGCCCCAGGAGAGGCATTTCAACATTTTCAAGTAGTGGAAAGAAATATTTAAAAGCTTTGAAACCACGAAATGAAGATGGGTGCCTGGTCACCTGGACCTGAAATTCCCTACCCTTTTCCTAAGAAGGGCGTAGTTACAGGAGAGACGCCTTTGGGTACGTAAGAACCCCCAGTGCAGAGATTTCAGACCCACTCCACCCCATCTTCACCCCACCTTCCTGCCAACTCACCGCCATCTTCTTCTTCTTCGCCTCCTTCTCTAGAGGGGGTTCCTCCGCTTCAGACCCCGACTCAGATTCTGATGAGCTGCTCTCGGTGAGGCTTCCCTCCTCAGATGAGGAATCAAGGGCTCCTTTTCGTTCCTCCAGTGGTTGCTTCTTCTTATGCCTTTCTAGCTCTTCCTCACTGGGTTTATAAAAAAAAGCAACAAAAAGATCAAGCCGGAGGTTGTTTCTTCTGACATCTCCCTCTCCTTGGCTGGGGATGATAAGCAGCCACTATGCCAGCTTCCTTGGAGCAATTACCAAAGTTCTTCCAGCACCTTAATAGAGAGCCTGCACCCACAGCATGGAGGAATCTGCAGGCTTGGGGCAACTCCCAGGCCCAAAGCACTCCTGGATTGTTAAAGGTCTATCCTAAGTTATTCAATACTAGAGACATAAGGATATAGAAGGAGCCTCCCCCTCGAAAGGTGGAAAAAGCATTGCGGGTACACTTGGGTGTCCCCCTGGGCAACAGTGCACGACTGGCCAGTTCTTCACTTCCAGAACGGTTGCACTGTAAACTTGCTGATTATGCAACACTCTGATGCCAATAAAGAAGTGAGGACGAGAGCTTGGAAAAGATATTTTCCAAGTCCTGCCCAGCACACCTTTACTTTGTCCCTTTTGGTATCTTACAGGTGATCACCTAGAATTCGTCTCTTTTGGTCTGGTGCCCTGTCAAGCTCCTTTTACCTTTCGCCACTTGCCAGCGATCCTTTCCTTCCCGCCTCTTTCCTCTTCATTTTCTTCCCCTCCTTCTCTTCTGACTCGTCCTCGCTCTCTTCCTCCTCCTCCTCCTCCTCCTCGTCTTCGTCGTCACTCCCAGAACCAGAGCCGCTCTCACTGCCACTTTCGCTTTCGGACCCACTCATTGTCTCTGGCTCTGCCAAAATGAGAGAGAGAGAGAGAGAGAAGGGAACATACACTTACAACACACATACGATGGAGGCAGAGCAGGCGCTTCCTTTCCCCTTTAACTGGGTGGGATTTTATTCATTTAATCTACAACTATAAGTAAAATGATAAGCGAGAAAACATTGATAAAACGTTAAGTTGCCATTGAACATACTGGGCAGCATCTGCTCAGGTCAGATTTTGTGTCTTACCACCCACTGCCAGCCGAGAAATGCGATTGTTTCTACAGTTTCTACGCTCAGCTGGCTCTCTAAAGAAAACAGTGTTCCTTAGAACTGGCTGTCCTTCTCCAAGTGGCCAGCAATACACTCCACAAAGTCTGCAAGCAGGGCACCGTGCAGAGGAGGATGCTCCCAAGAGTTGCCTTCATGTATTGAAGGGCTGTTAAAGTAGCCAGTGTGTAACTAATGGCAGAGCAATCATCAAAAATCTGCCCCATGCTCCCGATTGCTGCCTAGGTTACAAGCCACAGACTCAACCTATGGCAACATTTCTGCATTTGGAAAAAAAAAAGCCTTGCATCTCAATACAACTGCATTTAAGTGAAATTTCTGGGAACATAGGAAAATGCCTCCTGAACTCAGTTAAAACAGTAATGCTGATCATGACTGTCCAGGGTTTCAGGCAAAGGTATTTGCCATTCTTTTACTATTTTATCCATTGGTTGTATTTTATTTCTAAACAAATCCTGTGAACCACATTGGAATTGTTATAATGTTTCATAGTATCCTTGAGTCTAATCAATAGAGATGATTCAGTGGAGGAAGTGGCAGTACGGGGAACTCTAGGCAAGACTGATCATGTCCTAGTAGAATTCTTGCAGAGTGTAGCCACACATACTGTGTTTCCCCAAAAATAAGACATTTGTTTAATTCTTCTTCAATACTGTAATAATTTATTATTCTTAGCTTTTAATACTATTTTCTTTTCCTAATACAGTGGTGCCTCACTTAACGATGTTAATTGGTTCCAAAAAAACCATCGCTATAGGAAAACTTCGTTAAGCGAAACACCATTTCCCATAGGAATGCATTGAAAACCGGTTAATCCGTTCCAATGGGAACGGATTACCGTCCTTAAGCGAAAATCCCCATAGGAAACATCGCTAAGCGATACAATGTTTCCCCCATTGAAAATCATTGAAGCCAACTCAATGATTTTCAATGGCTTTCCGATGTCTGTTTTCGCTCATTTAAAAGTGTCTTAACATGTTTGAAACCTGTTTTAAATACTTGGAATCGTTAGTCCACCTTGTGAAACCTATGCAAACTTAATTTGGCTTTGTTCTGAGTCTTCGTTAATTTTTCGTGAATTTTTTCCCCTCATTGAAAAGCATTGAACTGTCCAAATTAAGCCAAATTAAGTTTGCAAAGATTTCACAAGGTGGACTAACTATTCCAAGCATTTAAAACAGGTTTCAAACATTTTAAGACACTTTTAAATGAGCAAAAACAGACAGGGAACTCTAGGCAAGACTGATCATGTCCTAGTAGAATTCTTGCAGAGTGTAGCCACACATACTGTGTTTCCCCGAAAATAAGACATTTGTTTAATTCTTCTTTAATACTGTAATAATTTATTATTCTTAGCTTTTAATACTATTTTCTTTTCCTAATACTGTAGGCAATCTTAAATCATTTCTAGGCGCTAAGCGAGGCACCACTGTACTGTAAGCAATCTTGGATCCTTTCTAGGAAAAAGGCAAGGTATAAATACAGTACTTCAACTAACTAACTAAATATGCACAGGAACCTGAAGCTTTGTCAGGTTTGGCAACTTCTTGCACACAAGCGTCATTGGTCTAACCTGGATCACCTACTCCCAAGGAGAGGCAAGAGACAAAACCTGAGCTAAGGAAGAACCTTAGGAACAGCTGGCATTAACTGTAGGAACAAGGCCCTCTGTTATATCTGCATTACTGAAATTTCGTGTTGCAAACTCTACAGAAAGATCTTGGTACTTTATACCGCTAGTCCAATATTGCATGTTCTGACTGGCAGCAGAACTGCAGGATTTCAGGAACAGGACGCCCACCACCGCTGCCGCCACCGCCACCACCACCTACCCAATCCTCTTCATGAGAGGTGCCAGGAAGAAGCACACCTGGGGCCTTCTGCATGAAAGGCACCTGCTCCGCCTTCCTTCTCCTCAGCAAACCACACTCACCACTGTCTGCAGACTCTGTTGCCCCAGATTCTCCCTCTGAATCGGAATAGAAGGGCTTCTCCACCTTCTCCTTCCTCTTCTCACGGCTGGTGCATTTAGTCCATTCCGGGACCTGCCCAAAGCAAATGGAGGGGTGCACATTTCATTGCCAAGGAATGAGCAAGTACAAAGAGCACCCTTATCAGTGAAGGAAGCAGGACAGAAAAGCCCAGGAAAGGTCAGACAGAGATCCAGTTCATACTAAAGAGATTTCCTACGCAGATCTCCCTTCTGCTTTGGACAAAATGTAATACAGTACATCGGTGCGTGATGTCACACTATAACATGCTCTGTATCTATACAGTGGTAACTCAGGGGTTGGTTTAGACTAGAAATGGACACAAAGCAGAAAAATTGTAATTTGTTTGGATTAGTGATTCATCAAGGTTGACAAATCACAAATTACAATTTTACTTTTTTTTCTGATGAATCCACAAATTATTCATTTTTGCCTTTAAAACCCTATACAGTGGTGCCTCGCACAACGATTGCTTCATACAACGATGAATTCACACAGCGATGGGTTTCTTTGAGAAATTTCCCCCATCATTTAACGATGTTCTCTATGGGGGAATTTCACTTAACGATGTCCCTTTTTTGCTCCTGTAAAAGTGTCTTAAATTCTTAGAAACCTGTTTTAAATGCTTGCAATCATTAGCCCACCTCCTGAACCCTACGCAAACTTAATTTGGTGTTGTTCTGAGTTGTTGTTAATGTTTGGTGATTTTTTAAATTCTCCATTGAAAGCCTCTGAATGGTCCGTTCAAAGGCTTTCAATGGAGAATTTAAAAAATCACCAAAAATTAACGATGACTCAGAACAACACCAAATTAAGTTTGCATAGGTTTCAGGAGGTGGGCTAATGATTGCAAGCATTAATCTGTTCCAATTGGAACAGATTAACCGGTTTTCAATGCATTCCTATGGGAAATGGTGTTTCACTTAACGATGTTTTCACATAACGATTTTTTAATGGAACCAATTAACATCATTAAGTGTGGCACCACTGTACAGTGCCCCAGCAAGCACCTAGAGACACCAAAATCTCAGGAATGCTTCCTCTGACTCTCCTCTACAATCCCTCCAAGTTCAGTGGAGATTGGGTTTCAGACATCTGAGTTATATGCCCACAAAGTGGGTGTCTCTAGGTGCCTGAGGGGCACTTAATAACTCAACAAATCAAAAACTGCTAAAAATTCATTGATTCATATTCATCGGCATGTATGAATACGAATTGATGAATCAGCAATTTTTGAGCAAATCTGGAGAATCATTTTTTTAATTTGTGCCCCTCTCTATTTTAGATCTTGTGTACATATACTGGGCATGCACACAGCATGTGCTATGAACTTCCAACATGGAATCTAGCTGGAATTCCAAGCAGAGCTTGGAAAAATTACCTTTTTAATGATAAACCCCGGAATCTCCTACCCTGCATGACTGCCATGTAAACAGGGAATTCTGGGAATTGTAGCCCAAAGTATAACTTTCCAGGCTCTGCTCAATATTATATATCTACTCTCGACAAGTGGTACCTACCGAGGGGCTCAGGCTCTCCCCCATCATCCATTACCTCCCCCTTTATTGGAGATGCATAGATCAGATTTGGGAATGTCTGAATGCACCTCTACATTCAGAAGCTTTGGCAGAAGTTCTGGCTCCTTCCCCAAGATTTGCCTTCATAGGTAGTCAGAAGAGGAATATGCATGTGTCTCTGCATCCCATGTACCTCTCCCATCCACTATAAGTGTGTGTGTGTTTTTCCCTCCACTGATACACAGGACCTACCCATTTTATCCTTACAATTCAATGGAGCAGGCGAGGGCCAGAGAGCCTTCTAAAGCTACCATGTTGGGTTTAATGGCTGAATGAGGACTCATTCACAGGTTTCCCCCAAGCTAAAACCAAAATTGTCCACATAGCACCCATCATCTTGGCTCTTATTTCTCCAGAATGCAATATGATTTTAAACCCCCACAGAAAAGAGGCAACAGCTCAAATTTTGCCTTAAGTCTATCACACAATCCAAGAACCTTGTCTTGGTTTAGTTTAAGGAAGCACTCCTACACATGCAATTAAATTCACATATGAGTAAAAACAACAGGGCTATAGAAAAAAAGCAAACATTAGTTTTTAGATTATGTACATATCTGTTGTCAGAAATACCACCAACTAGGAAGACACACACAAGACAGCAGAGTCCCCACCAAGCAAGAGAGCAGAGTGGCCTTGAATCTCCTTTCTTAGAGACATATTATTGTATGAACAATTGGATGAATAAACGGGGAGGTCCTTTGTAAGGCCTTGTTTTTCACCTGCAGTTTTTGTATTAATAGTATATATCAAGATGTGTCACCTGAACAAATCAGGACAACTTGTTAGCGAATTAAAAATCTTTTTGTTCATCAATCTAAGTGATCATTTAGGGAGCTAAGGCTGCAGCCTTTAGACGACACCTACAGAGACAAGCAAGTTGGTCAAGGCCACCCAGCAAAGTAAGAAAAACAGGGGGCAGAGAGGCTACCGTGCAAGGCAAGCAGGAGAGGCAAAGCACCACCGCACCCGACACGCACCACCTCTATCGGCTTGCCCAGCAGCCCTATGTGGCTTTCCGGTGGGACAATGGACTCTTCCTAGTAGGAGAAGAAGAAGAAGATGGAGAGGTGTAGGGAGATTGCCTTGAGACAGAAGGACCGCCCATCCTGGTTGGCTGATGCAAACCAAGGAACTCTATGCAGGGGTAGCCTCATCAGGTAAACCACGCACAGAGAGGAAAGCCTTCTAGCCACAGAGAGTGGATCACTCTTTCCTCAGTTCCGTTGCTTCCCTATTACCACGCACAGAGAGGAAAGCCTTCTAGCCGCAGCCCCCTCTGTCACCAGTTCCCTTGCTTCCCTACGCATAGATAGTGGCGCGTCTGAGGAAAGAGTGATCCACCCTCTGTGGGGACTCCCCAGGAGGGATCCTGACTTTCCAGGGTCCCAAGTCATGTGGGGGAGTCTTCTCTGTGCTTTCCCCTTTCAGGCTCACCACGGGCTGTCTGCAGGAAGACCACAAAACTAGGCATCATGAGGGGAGAGACAAAGAACTCCCCTCTACTCCTGGTGGCTTTGCCCTAATAGGAGACACCTGAGGAGGGTTTGTATGTCTCCTAAGGAAGGCAATGGTGGCCAAGATTGGAGCTTTGGTAGCCTCTGTAAGCAAAGACGGTCAATTCTTGTTCACATGTGTAGGACAGGAACCGGACCTCAGGCCCATATTTTCATGAAGTACCAGAGGAAATACTAAGCTTAAAACAGTCCCTTTTGTTTAGCCCAGCTCCCAGAACCCCCAAACACCAGAGCCAACAGCCAACTGGTGGGGGAATCCTGGGAGTTGTAGTTGCAGAAGTTACTTTCCCATACTTTGGGCAACACTCATTCCCAATCAGCTGTAAGGACTAGCTGAGATTTACCTCCACATTGCGCACAGATGGGTCCGGAGCTTCAGTTGGCCAGTCAGGGAGCTCCTGATAGCCGACGGCTTTGGCATTGAGGAGATGGGAAAGCGAGCCCAGCTGGAAGTGGTCACGATCTGGAAGGAACAAACTTTTAGCAGCAGCTACCTAGCACGGACCACCCACCCACCCTGAAAAAAACACAGCACCCAGGACCACAAAGGTTGAAGAGCCTTCTGTCAGGAAGACGACAGCTGTGGGCTCCTGCATTGGCAGAGGGCCAGACTCAATGACATCTGGAGAATATGCCAAGCCTGCATTCCTATGTTTTTTATTATTACCATCCCCACCCTTAAGCTGTTCTCTGCAGCTCCTCTTACACACCCCGCCTTCCTCTACCTTTGAAAGGCGACTCCAAGATGGGGGCCGGCTTCTGTGCCAGGAAGAGCTTCTTGGCATACTTGTTGAGGGCACCGCTCTTCTCAGTGGGCACAATGAGCTGGCGGATGAAGCGGGCACGATCCCGGATGTCGTAGTTTTGGTCATACTTGGCTAAGTTCAGCACGTACTGGGTCAGCAGCTTACTCTGTGGCAGACAATGAACCAAGTGGCAAAAGGGACAACTGGGTGTTGGTTAAGCACTCACTGGCCAAGCTAGTAAAACCCTCCCCAAGCGTGTTCAGTATAGTGTTCTCTTCCACGGGGGTGGAGGAGAACACTATACTGAAGAGCAAGTTAGAGAAAGCTTCATGATTCCCGAGTCTGCTGTATTTCTACTCTTTTCTCTCTCTCTCTCTCTCTCTTCTTAAAAGCTGCCACCCACCATGCTCTCCCCAAGTGTTAAAAAGAAGAAGAAGAAAAGGCACTACTTTGAAGGGGAAAGTTAGAGAAAGTTTCCAGATAGAAAGCATACAGTGGTGCCTCGTTTTACGATTGCCCCGCATTACGACGAATCCGCTTTCCGCCGATCTTTTTGTGATCACAACTGCGATTGCAAAATGGTGGTCTAAATGGGGGAATTTTGCTTTGCGATGATCGGTTCCCTGCTTCAGGAACCGATTCTTCGCAAAATGATGTTTTTAGAACAGCTGATCGGCGGTTTCATAATGGCCACCGGGTAATTAAAACGGCTCCCCGCTGTGTTTAGGGACGGATTCCTCACCATACAAGCAGCAAAAATGGCCGCCGTATGGAGAATCTTCGCTGGATGGTGAGTTTTGCCCCATTGGAATGCATTGAATGGGTTTCAATGCATTTCAATAGAATTTTTTATTTTGCTTTACGGTGTTTTCGCTTAACGGCGATTTTCCTGGAATGGATTATCGTCATTAAGTGAGGCACCACTGTATATTCCTCCCCACCACCACTCCTCCAAAAGAAATTAACAAAATATTGCTGCAAAGGACATTTACCTGCTTGGAGTTGGTCAGATACAGCTTGGCAGCCAAGTTGATGACTTGCAGCTTCACAATGTCCTCCTCACTGGTGAAAGACTTGGCCATCTTACGCAGCACATCAGGGGCAATCTTGGGCACATGCTCACAGTATTCGCCAATCAGCCACAAGATGCTGGCACGAGCCATGGGAACCTGCACACAAGGAAGCACTGCATCGCCAAGACTGGCCAACCTGCCTTCTCCCTTCTGTCTCCCTGCCTCCTGTCTTTATCGGGTCCCAACAGGGAAGAGGCAAGAGTGGGTTCGGCCACCTCCTCTCCAGCCCAGGCTCCCACCTGGATGTTGTCGGTCAGCTTTGCCATATGCTTGATGATCTCGCTGTGCTGGGACGGTTGCATTTGCAGGAGCTTCTTAATGACAACCACAGACTCGGCCACAACCAGCTCTGAGCAGGAGGAACAGAAACAACATAAGGTTCGAGGCAAGGCGGCTCAGCCTGCCTCTGCTCCTCCCCTGCAAGAGTGTGGCAGTCGTGTCAAGGCTCACAAGAAGGATGCACCACCCCTTTTGCATTGTTATCTGCCACCCCATAAGCTCTCCTCTTCCCTCTCAACTTACGATATATTTACAACCTGTCTTTCTTCCATTGAGCTCAGGATGATCTACTGTACATGGTTTTCCTCCTCCCTACTTTATCCTGAAAACAACCCTGTGAGGTAGGTCAGGCTGAAAAAAGTGACTGGAGAATTTCATACCTTGGGTGGAACTAGGATCTAGATCTCCCAGGTCTTAATTCAATGCATTAACAATTTATTCACTTAACTGCAATATTTGCAGTGGCATGCTGAGGTGCAATTAATTTTGCCAGCGAAGAAAACAGGAAAATATAATCTGTTTTCTTCGCTCCATAAGATGCACAGACTTTCCACCCCCCTGTTTTGTGGGGGAAAAGTGTGTCTTATGGTGCGAAAAATACGGTATTCACTTAACTGAAATATTTGCAGTGACATGCTGAGGTGCAATTAATTTTGCCAGTATCAATACATGGTTATAAACAATCCCTGTTGCAAGGCAAAAGTATTTTGGGGGTGGCTTGGTCTTGAGTGAGCAATTAGAACCCATTAGCTTAGCAAAAGACCTGACCCTTACAGAGACAAAGACCATTAGGATACAGCTCAACAGAGATGCTTCGTTTTTGACTGCTTTTGAGGGCACTGCTGTTGGGACTACTGTGATGGACATCTGCAGATCAGTCATGTTCCTATCCTAAACTACCCCTTCTCATTGACAGCTGTCCTGGCTTTGCCCCTCTTGCTCCCCAGGATCAGGCTCTCACCATCTCGGTTGGAGAGCAGCTGGACCAGTCCATTGAGACACGTGTCTCGGACTTTGCCAATGTTGGTAGCACAACGGCCGATGGCCTGGATGGTAGCTGCTACAAAGTCTTTATCCATGCTCCGGATGTAGGTCTGTAGGAAGACAAAGAACACAAAAACCCTCCTCGAGTATCCATCTGCTCCACTTGGGTTGGCAAACTACCATCCGCAACACCAAACAGGTCAATTGACCATAATTGGCCAACCTGAGTCTCCTTTACTTGAACCAACATACATCTCTTCACTGGATGCAAATGCCTAGAACGTCACACCTTGGCTTTGAAGATTCCAGGAGTATCGGGCCCACCAAGGTAATTCTCATATTTTATGGCCCCATGGATTCAGCAGCTTTAAGATCGTTTCAAATCCAAATAAGCCATTTTAACTCAATAGATGTTCTGGCACTCCCAGAAAACCTTTTCACTGATTTGCAGGGCATGGGTTCCGCATGCCCAGAGCATGAAATAGTTATTTCTTTGGACTATAATCCCCAAAATCACCCGCATTGCTTTCTGAGAGATTCTGAGAGCTGTGGTCTAAAAAGGCAATTTTTACATATGTCATGGATTATGGAGTGGGTTTCTGATGTCAGGATACCGGTAATCCAGCCAACCAACAAAACACCCCTGACATTGGCATCTGGCTTCCCTTCTCCACTCCTCTGCCAAGTTCTCCCTTCCACTCACTTGCTTGCGGCTATACCTGGAATTCACGCAGGATGGTCGAAATGTTGGTCTCATTTGCAAGGTTGGTCAGGACTTCCAGCTGGTAGGAAAGAAGGGAGAGGGAGGGAGAGGGAGGAGTTACTCCAAAGAGGCAACCCAAAACTCAGCTTCATGCCAGGACCGACCTGAGGTAACTTTCTGCCTGAGGCAAAGGATAAAAGGGCCCCTCCTGCTCTCTGCAGCAGGAGCCAGATGGACTGGCAACTGAGCCTTACTGACAAGGTGACAACGTTGTCTAGACCCCTTGAAGGCAGGCTAGGGTGGGGAGGGGATGAACAGGCGGTTCCCCGAAACAGTGGAATGGTTAGGGATTTGTGAGGCAGGTTGTCACTGTTGCTCACAGCCTTTGTAACGAGGCTGTTGCTTCATGGTGTCCAGCGCAGGCCGAATGCAGGAGAGGGAGGTGTCTAGGACTTCCAATGGTTTGGACTCGAACTCTTGTCATTCCTTGCCAGTGGCCATGCCGGCTGGGGCCTTCCCGGACCTGAAGTGCAAAATATCTGGGGAGGGGGGGAGGAACAAAGGCTGCCACTCTCTGCCAAAGCTAATGGCAGGGAAGCCAGGTGGCCATGGCAGATGCTTCCAGGAGGGAAGGCCAGGAAAGGCCAGACATGTATGGGGTTGGGGAGAGCAAGGATACAGTCAGAAAAAAACAAGAGATGGTAAAAGCACACCCCAATCTCTGAACCGCTAACATACCTTGAGAACCTTGATCTGGGTAGGTTTCGTTGATCGGATGTAGAAACTTTTCAAGTATGGTTCAAACATTCCCTGAAGAGACAAAAGGAACAGCATCAGCTGCTCTGAAACCTGAATGGAAAGCTATGTGTGCACGAAGGGCTGAGGGAATTTCCCTCCAAGGCTGCACCAGCATGAGGTCGGAGCACAGCAGAAATGCTCTTCAGGAGCAGCAGCAGGGCCAACGTCCAGAGGTCTGGAGTTCACACCTCCAAAACCCATGTACTGTATTTGAGGTTACGCGAATCCTTCCCACTGGAACAGGTGAAGCCAGACAAACACTCACCCTGCGCTTAATGGACATGGTGGCCACATTCTGAAGCACCACATACTGCACCTCACTGCCATAAGAAAAAGAAACAAAAGTACTGTCAAGGAGGCAGAGATACCTCGGGATTCATTTCTAGCAGATACAGCAATGGCCACTGGCTTTAAAGAATAGTTTAGACAAGGTTTTAAACACACAGTTTCCTGTCCGCAAAGCCTAATTAAGAGCTCTGCAGGGTGTTTAAAGCAGAATGGAATGGAATATCCAGGAAAAGGGCATTGCTAGCTCAAACCCTGACGAGAAGCATGCCGTGTTGCAATTTATCTTTCAAGAACAGACTAGATCCACCACCAAGAAATGCAGACAGAAAAGCACACCAATCAGAGCTCAATCATTTTTCTGATCATAAAAGAGACGTCCCTCTTTGTTTCTCTGCCCTGTCCCTGAGGGGCTTTGCCAGCACAGTAGGCAAGGTCTGGAACACAAAAGATGTATTAGAACAGGGTGGGATATTGGCAGACCTGTGGCTCCTGAGGAGACGCACGAGTGCCTTCGCAATGACCCCAACTTCAGCCTTTGGAGCAAGATGGAAGTAGAGCTGAGCAACAGACATGACAACCTGCGGAGAAAAGGGGGAGACAGAAGGAGTTCTGTTACATGGCACCGGTAACAAGAGAGCAAATTCACAGGGAGAGGAATATGCTATTCTGGCGGCTATCCTGACCACGACAGATGTTCTGAGGTGACATGGAAAGGGGCCTATAAATGCTAGCAAGCTAGAGGTCGACAGAATTCTGGAATGGTGTGCTTCTCTGCCTCTTGCTCCAGGTGAAAAGAGGGAGAAGAATCTGTAATTTATAAACATCCCAGAACTGAACAGCTGGAAGGAAGTCCAAACCCTGTTGAGGAGGCACAAGAGGGGAATCGAACTCCCAGCCTCTGGCTCCACAACCAGAGACCTCAACCACTGAGGTATCCAACAGTCCTAGGAGTTTGTATTAATCAGGGCCAGGGCTTGAAAAGTTACCTTTTTTTGGCTACAACTCCCAGAGTTGTCCAGCCAGCACCGTTGCTGGCCAGAGACTGGAAACATTTCCATGTCTTCCAGAACTCCCTGGGCACCTTGGCTGCTGGCCCTTTTGGCCAAGGAAAATGCTTGAAGCCATCATCTTGAAAGGTAACTTTCTCAAGCTCTGAACAGGGCTGGCCCAAGACATTTTTCTACTTGAAGCAAAGGCCAGTTGAAGGCCTATTTTCCTCTCTGCACCAAGAGCAATGGACTAGTACCTGGTAGGAAACTAGAGTAGCAAACTAGCTTAGGGTATCGTGAACAGTCCACGTGGCATGGAGGGGAAATGGCTGGAGACCTTAGGAGGAAGAACCAGAGGGACAACAATGCACCTCTCCAGCAGCTGCCACCTGAGGCGATTACCTCACTTGGCTTTGTGGCAGAGCCGGCCCTGCCATCTGCGTAAAGAAGGGAGGATGGTCCCCTTCTGGTCTTCGTGGAGAGATGGGGTCCTCTAATACCCCTTCTTGCCTGGAACCTTTCGAATGACAACAGAAGCCATATTGCAGTCAGGGCAGGATTCCCTGTTGAGGAAACACAAACCAGGGCTCACCGCAGCATTGCGGCTTTGCAGCAGGGGCTTGGTGTTGCGCAGGAGCAGGCGATGGTCGGGATCCATGACGTACGGTTTGCGCTTCACCAGTGATGTAGGTTCGGCCTTGTCATCCTTGGAGTCTTCCTCCTCAGACCCATAGAAAGCTTTCTCAGCACTTTCTTCCAGGAGGGATTCCTGTCCAGGAAGCACAAAGTGAGGGTTGCTCAGATCCCAGGAGCAAGTCACGATCCCACTCACACCTACAACACGCGGAACTGCTGATCTATTTATAATCCATTCTGTTCCTCAAATATGTTGAGAAATTGTGCGCCAAGCAATGTATTAGTTGGAGGCACAGAGACAAACCGCAGAAGCCTGTCCTGCAGGGTCAAAAGACCAAGCAGTCGTAAGATTGAATCCACGCAACGGAGTGAGCTCCCGTCGCTTGTCCCAGCTCCCGCCAACCTAGCGGTTCGAAAGCATGCAAATGCAAGTAGATCAATAGGGACCACCTCGGTGGGAAGGTAACAGCGTTCCGTGTCT